CTTACCGATTACAAGACTGTGCCTACCCCAGTTGATTCTTAAACTCATCTCACTCTTCTTGATGGTCACATGTTATCTGATGCTACTTTATATCATCAACTAGTAGGCAATCTTGTCTATCTTATGGTTACTCGTCTAAACATTGCTTATGTTGTTCACATTGTCAGTCAGTTCATGGCTGCTCCTTGCTCTCCACACTATGATGTTCTAGTTCGCATTTTACGCTATCTCAAAGGCACTCTTTCTATTATATCTTCCATGTATCCCTCGTTAAAAGTTATGCATTTGCTATTTGGGATTGTTGGTGACTTGTAATTAGTGTGTCATTAGTATGTTGTTGTTGTGGCGTTGTGAATTGACGTTATTTCAGGGGCGAAATTCCTTAAGGCAGGGAGATTGTGACAATTCATTCCAGGTGACCGCTCGAGTGGTGAAAAGACCACTCGAGCAGAGATGTAAGATTCCCAATAGTTGGTTTTTCATGTCAGATGGAAAGGGCGAAGATGAGGGGGTTTCCGGAATCTCGTTTTACATGGTAAAATACAAAGAGTTTAAGTTCATCGATCAAGCAGTGAAAAGACCGCTCGAGCAGTCTGCGTGATTTCAACAACTTAAAAGTTATTTTTTTAGATCATTTCCTCTACTTCTTTTGTTTCTTCTCTTATCTCTCTTTAGCTTTGAAAATCGTAGCTCTCTCACTCTAAAAATCTTTCATTTTACTAAGATCTACACCTCCATTCCTTACAAAATCAAAGTCTACATGAAGATTGTGCCTTTCCACCAATTGAATTTTGAATTTTTCGAAGGAATCTTCTTGATCTAGCTTCTCTACTTTCATCTTTGAGGTAGGATTACTTTTAATCTTGTATCTCTTTATTTTGAGGATGTTTATGTGGTGCTATTATGACATTGATGCTATAAATGTTTGAGCTTACAAAATTAGGATTTGGTTATCAAAAATGAATCTCTACATTTTCTTAAGATTCTAATAATTGCCATGGATTATCAAGATTTTAGTTGAGAAATAGTATTTAACATGATGGAGGGGAAAAAATCCCAAATTTTTTGAAAACCCTAACTTTTGAAATTGAGGAAGGACGTGATTAAATGAAATAGATTTTCTATTCTTTGAATTGATGAATGAATTATGAGATTTTGATGAGGTACATTGATTTGAGACTTATGAAATTGGTAACTCTTCAGATTTACTTTTGAATTATGAAGATTGTTTCTCTATATTCTTTTCAATCATTTGAATGGTGAAATTTACTCTTTATCTCATGAATGTACAAATTCTTGGAAGTTTGGAAAGGTTGTGTAAGGGAGTGGTAAGTAGCGTATGAGTCCAGGCTGGAAGTCGGTTTTGGTAAGTGTTCTATTATTGGTACTCGCATAGGGAAAAGTCTAGGTACCCAAATGCCCTGTCTTAAGCTTATTGCTGGACAAATGTAAGCAAAATGTTTTTGGGTGTCTATTGGTTTTTCCGTTTTGTAATCGGTTAAAGTGAAAAAACGGATGGTTTTGGGTGCCCATTCCTTGTAATGTTAATAGCCGGAAAATGTGGGGATATTTTTGGATATAAATCGATATGTATATGTATTGGGACTCCTTTTATGAGCTTCACGGCGTATTTACCTCCGGTATTGGATGTGGCTTTGGTGGCACAATTCTATCTATGCATCTTTTCTTAAATCTTTAACATGAATGCAGTAAAATGTTATTTGGGTTGTGATAATGCCATATGGATTCTTCGAATAATTAGATACTCAGTTAAAAGTATTTTTACTGGGCATCTAACTCATTCCTATCTAACATTTTTAGGACTCGGTGATGTGCAACCACCCCAATGAGAAAGATGTGGATTTTTGTTTTGATTAGAGCACAGAAGCTCATGGATGTATTATATGGAAGCTCCGAGCTTATTTGTTTTAGGACTGCACATCCATTTTGTTGTAACAAGGCTTCGCCTTGATGTTTCTAATCCATTATGGCATTTTTAATTGTATCCTCTAGCTTTTTGAACTATTGTATTAATGATGTAACTAAGACATGAACATGCAAGTTCGTAAATTTTTGATGTATAGTTCAATGAGAAAAAGGGCTTTCAAGCCAATGTTATTAAGTGATATTGAAAGATTTTGAGTTAATCATGTATTGAGTATTATTTTTAATTTAAATAACTTGAGGCGTTACACCACACCAACCTTGGTCGCATGTATGGGTCCCTTAGCAACACCTGTAGTTTTACATAGTCCCAAACCTTAGAAGTGCATCTTCACTGCATATGCACCACCTTCGGTTGCACTTGCAAGACCCATGCTGCACGTGTGGGACTCTGCCCAGAATTTCCCTTCCTGTACTGCACCAATTTGCACATGCAGGAAAACCCTGCCACACATGCGTTCTCATATGCACAAGTTCAATTCTTTCCGAGGTGTTTCTACACTCTTATTTTTCATCCATACTCCCGAAACTCTAACATTAGATATGTCAAACATGTAGAGACCCTAATTTTTAAAAATTATAGAATCTTATTAATTTCATTTTAGCTCTTGATTTCACCAAATATTGCAATTTAGCCCAACGGAACCTGATTTTTTTTTGGTACAAATAATAGCTGTTTACCATTTTATAATTTAAAAATAGAAAATATTTTTCACTTCTTCATTTCTCTCTATTTCAACTTTATCTCCATGACCAAGCAAGATTTGAACCTCAAGTCAACTATGAAATCAAGTCAAAAGGCAAGCTCAAGGTAAAATGAAATATATACCAAAATATCCAACAAAGTTCTGTTTTAGAAGGTGTACAAGGGAGCAATATGAAGTTGGAAAAATGGATGATATTTTGGCTAGGTGTCATAATTTTGATCCTTATTTCATAGCAGGTCATGAGCAATCTTCTCATCTTCTATTGGATGAAGACCATTACGACAATTCTCCAAAAATTGAAAGGCATTACATGTGTATACTCACTTTTGGCTCAATATATGAAAACTTATACCCACATTGAGTTTGTAGGGCAAATCAAAAGTGAATATTGTTTATATGGCTTACGCAAAAACAAGAAGGTGATTGCAAAAAGTCTTAAGTCGCATGAAGTGTTTCATAGGTCAAACAAATATCTCCATTCTCCAAAATGATTCATGAAAACTATCGAAGGGTGTATTAAAGGACGCAAAGAGTACAAATCAAGTAAGAAAGTTTGGCCTATAATAAATTTCGCTATTCAAATAAAAAATTGCAAGTTGTCTCATGTTTGAAGAGCTTATTTGGAGTCTTGGCCTTTCAGAAGTTTTGAAAAGACATAACATCACTCAAACCTAAAAAAGTACTTTAAACCTTCTAGCCCAGTGAATAGGACTTATAATGGAAGAGGGCTTTCATGTAGGAGTTTTGGCCTTCAGAATGTTTGACAAGGCCTAATGGTAGTTTCAAACCTGATCAACATTTCAGGTCTTCTAGCACATTAAAAAGGCTTCCTTTACAGTATGCCAAGAGTTTTATATAGAAGAATTAATTTTCCACCTCAACCTTCTCTTGTAAATAACTCACCCAAGACTGGATCAGAGAAAGGAGGTCAAAGTTCAGATGCTAGTTCATGAATGCTTTAGCTTGTGCAATGAGGTCTAAGATCTTAGTGTATACTTGAGAGGCATTTAGGATTCTAAAGTTCTTAATGAAGCTATGTTAGGCCTACAGAAGATAGTTCAGAAAGTCTTGATGAAGGCTTATCAAGTTTGCAAGAACTAATTCAAAAGGTCCGGTAAGGATTCAGAAGGTTTTAATGAAAGCCTATCAAGTCTGCAAGAGTAAATGAAAAATGGTAATTTGTGAATCTATAGAAATATGATGAGTGTTAACAAGTGTATGGTTCAAACTTATTAAGAAAAAACTTGCACTATTTATTAAGACTCGAAACATTGTTAGACTTCCATGATCAAACCTTTGATGTCACAACAATGCAAGAGGGGTGCTATTGAGTTGGGTTCAGTAATATTGTGCATGATTAGAAAAAAAAGAAAGAAAATGTAGAGGCTTTGCTTGTAGAAACCTCTATGAATAATTTGATGATAAACTTTTCTTGAACTACAAAGCTAGTGGAATCAAATATAAGCCTACAATTATCATCTAGTAAATTGTTGAACAACTTGTAAATTATAAGAGATAAACGTTTGTTAGATCAAGAAAAGGTTATGCTAGAAATCTGTTAAATACCTTTATCAAAGTGAGAAATGGGAAGAGAGTTCATGTTACCAACCTAAACAAAATCTAACTCATTGTATGGAAATATGATCCACACCATTTGTAAAATGGGAAATGGCCTCAGAATCAAATAACCAAGGTACAAGATCAGTTGGCACATGAGAAGAGTTGGCAAGATTAGAAACAATGCAAGAAGATGAAGAGGAAACACTAGAAACAAGTTGTGCTACATATACTTAAAGTTATAATAGAGGATTTGGTAAATTAGAACCACCTTTGAATAATGAAAAAGACTGAAGTACATGAGGTTGATAATTCAAAATGAGACTATGACAACAATTGATAACTAAAATTATATATATATATACATAAAGGTCCTGTGACGACAACCCTAAGGGCTATCAATAAAAGCATTCAATTCTAAAATATTTAAAATCTCGATACACTCTTCACATATTCCAAAATATTTTTATACATTTCAATACACTATTTGCACAATTTTTTCAACAATAACAATGACCCTAAGCCTACATCATCTATTTGCATTTTGCTATATATATACCGAAAACCTTAGCCTACATCATCTTTACAAAATTATTTTCACAAATTAATGCAAAGAAAGTTTGTGCAATATGAAAAAGATAATTGAAAACATATATAATGTCTCTGATTTATGATTCCCTCTAAAATATTTGTAAAATAGATTCATTTGTTTGCCTAAATAAATAAAGGTATAGTCAAATTTTGTGCAAATGAATCCAAACCATTTGCATATAATTGGAGCAAAATTTAGTATTATTAGCAACTAACCACAACATGTCATTGAATCATTTCATCTTTAACATCTATTATCGATTGGTCTATCAAGTTTTACAATGATAAGTATCTTTAATGAGAATTGTCCATTGTACAAGAACAAATGTCATCGAGACACTACTTCTGAAATTGTGACTTCATTAATAGAGCAAGGTTTTGAAATTTCATCTGTATAGGCATCATTCAAACTCACAATTGCAAAGAAAGCAGGTTGCTTAGGAGCAAGTATAGCGACCATTTCATTGCTAAGCATAGACAAAACAGTTGAAATAGTTGGTCTATCTACTGCACTTTCTTGAACACACAAGAAACCAATTTGAATGTATCGCATAATATCACTCATTGAACATGTTTCAACTAATGAATGATCCATTATCTCCAAACCCCTTCCATCTTTCCACAAATCCCATGCCTAAAATGAGTCGTTAAAAAGGTCATAGAAGGTTAGTCATTGAAAATATATAGAGAATACATACACACACAATTAGAGACCAAATTGCAGTTACTTACATATCCCAACAAATTTGAAGCACGATCGGGCATATAAAAATCTGTGTTTCTCTTCCCACTTATGATCTCCAGCATCATGACCCCAAAGCTAAAAACGTCAGACTTCATAGAAAAGCGACCATACAAGGCATATTCAGGGGACATGTAACCACTGTTTCCATCATTTCACCAAATTATATTGTTGAAGAGAAGTAATGTGTTTGGCATGCATACACACAATTTTTTATAGTTGTATGTTCAAAAGAGTTATCTAACTTACTATGTTCCAACAATTCTTTTTGTGCTTGCCCGGGATTCATTGTCTCCAAATATTCTTGCAGTACCAAAGTCAGATATTTTTGGATTCATGTCATTATCCAATAAAATGTTGCTAGCTTTCAAATCTTTGTGAATGATTCTTACTCTAGAGTGCTTGTGGAGGTATTGAAGTCCTTGAGCAATTCCTTCAATGATGTGGACACGTATTTTCCAATCAAGTAAAGCTCGTTTGGTTTCATCTGTTGCAAATTTTGCATTAAACACATTATTAATACACCTGATGACACTAAGAACAAAGAAACAGAATCACAAGAACAAAATATAGATTGGTTGAAGTTAGTGAAGTAACATACCAAAAAGAAATGAATCTAGGCTTTTGTTTGGCAAGTACTCATATATTAATATCCTCTCATCTCCTTGAGTACAACAACCCAAAATTCTAACAAGGTTACGATGTTGAAGCCTTGAAATCAATATAACTTCGTTCCTGAACTCCTCTGACCCTTGTTGAGAACTTCTAGAAAGCCTTTTCACAGCAATCTCCTGCCCATTAACTAACTGGCCCTGAAATTTATATATTATGTATAGAATGTGTAATCATAACACATCAAAATAAAAATTGAAGTTGTTAGGTCCCTGTGTTGTCAAATCCGGAGACAAAATCTTGTGTTGATTCAAAACTATGTTTTTCTGTTTATGTACTGTCCGCTCGAGCGGAGACTCTTGAGCTCGAGCGTAGATTAGCAGGTCACAGTAGTTTGACAGGGCAATCACAGATACTGGTAGGTGCGATTTTACGCTCGAGCGGAAACTCCTACGCTCGAGCGCAGCTCTGTTTCTTCGTATGCAGTTTTTGTTCAGTCCGCTCGAGCGGGCTATGTTGAGCTCGAGCGGAGATCGCGATTCAGATTCCTATTTAAAGCTGCTAACGTTGTTTTGTTTGGAAAGGTTTTTCTAGATCTGATCAAAACAAACTAGGGTTGTGTTTAAAGTCTTCTTGGGAGATTTTTGAGAGTTTTTCTTGATGCTTGAGAAGAGTTCTTCACTCATGATCTAAAATACATACATCAAGGAGTGGTTTCTTTAAAATTCAGAGAGAGTTCCTCTCGGTGGATTCCGAAGATTCTAGCATATAGTTTCGAAAGGTGTTTGATTCTATATGTGAGTGAGGTTGTGGAATCACTTCAAGATTAATCAGTTCCGAGATGAAGTCGTGAAAAAGAGTTACAGAAGATTCGAAGACAGATTGACTAAGTTGGGTAATTTGTAAGATATCTTTGTAATATTTTTACTTCAGTAGTGGATTGATTTATGGCGTTTCGCCCGTGTTTTTTAATCACAGTTGGAGGTGTCCAATTGTGGTTTTTTCCACGTAAAAATCGTTTGTGTCGATTTATTATTTAATCTGACAAAACAAACAATCTAAATCACTTTCGTAAGTGCTTGTTGATTTAGATTGTGTGTTTTGGATTTTTGGGATTTGGAATATTTTAATCTTGATCTAATCACGAATCACTTAGATTTTCAATTGGTATCAGAGCGGGTCACTCTTTGTTTTTTAAAACTATAGGAGTGTGATTTTGTGTGATTAGTATCATGGATTCTATTCGTGAAGGTAACTCCACTCATAGACCCCCTTTACTTGACGGTACAAACTATTCTTATTGGAAAGCTCGTATGAGAGCATTTTTAAAATCCATCGATGAGAAAGTTTGGCACTCCGTAATCTTTGGTGGAGTGAACCTACAATCACCATTGATGGGATTGATATTCCTAAACCCCTGGATAAATGGGACACAATCGATTACCAGAATTCGAGTTGGAACAGCAAAGCTCTCAACTCCCTCTTCTGCTCTGTCACACCTGAAGAATTCTGTCGAATTTGCACGTGTGAATAGCAAAAGAGGCGTGGATATTCTTGAAAACGATTCACGAAGGTACCACCTCTGTTAAAAGGGCAAAACTTCAACGTCTCACGTCGCCTTTGAAACCCTTTTTATGCGCGACGATGAGACGTTCGATGAATTTTATGCAAAACTCTCAGTGATATCGTGAATTCCTGTTTCACTCTCGGTGAGAAAATCCCGGAAGCAAAAGTTGTTGGAAAAATTTTGAGGTCCCTTCCCGAGAGGTTCCAACCAAAGGTGACAGCCATTGAGGAGGCTCAGAATGTTGATACCCTCAAGCTCGATCAATTGGTTGGAAATTTGCAGACTTATGAAGCCCACCAAATTTCTAAGAAAAAGCAAAAAGAAAATATGGCTTTCACGAGGCCCATGAGACTGCAAAACCTCCAGAGACTGAATTTGATTTAGAATCTGAGATGACGGCTATGCTTACAAAACAGTTTAAAAAATTTTTGAAAAAGAAGCCGAATTTCCAGAGCCCCTATCTCAAAAGATATAGAGTATGACAAACCCAAAACTTTTCCACCAAAACTTGCTTCAAAAACTGAAAAGAAGATTGTAAAGGGGCAAGGGGTCAAGTGTTATGAGTGTCAAGGCTTTGGTCACATTGCCCTTGAATGCCCTTCGAAAAAGAATCGAAAGAAAGTCTACACACTGTAACTTGGGATGAATGAAAGCGGTCGGAACAAGAACCCGAAGAACCTGAATCTGGAGAAAGACGGGATAGTGCTTTTATGGCTTTTGGTCCACTTTCACTCAAACTCTTGCCAAGCCAGCGGAGTTAGCTTGCTCAGAAACTTGCATGCATGCTCCTACTTTTGATGGGAGTAACTACCTGTTTTGGAAAATCAGATATGAGGCTTTTCTTAGAGCCTTTGATCCAGAAGGATGGCGGCCACTTGAAGAAGTACAGAAGTGTTGACAGTCCGAGCAATCTTGAGAAGCCCTTAGCACTTATTCGTATGAGCAATTTTCTGCTGAAGAACAGCAACGGGTTGTTCGTTGCATCAAAGGCTAAAGAAGGCAGGGAAAATTTTGAGCCAATCCATGAAGAGGAAACTCACATTCAACCCACCGTCCCGCGACTTTTCATTGTCTTAAGTTGCAAGATTGGAGCGAGGCAAAGAGAATGAAGAGCAAAAAGGGAATGTGAGACATTCTGAGGATAAATGAGGAGAATCAAATGGCGATGAACTACAACAAGCCATACGAAAAGCTGTACGAGGAATCTTTGAATTTTGTCCAAACTCAACGACAAGACTCTCTCTCAAGCTTCAAGACATGGTGAGAGTGAGAATGTCAGGCTGAAAGCAGAAACTTGTAGCAGCAAAGCAGAATATTGGTCAAGATCTCGAGTGACAGGCAAGACTTATGTGGTAAAATTACTTATCCTCCTGAAACTGAAAAGGAAATGAACTTCTGAAAGGTGTAATTCCACATATGAAGAAAGCTTGAAAGTGCTTGAGCTGTCACACGCAGATTGGAAGAGATAATCTGTCAAAAGGATGCAGAAGCTTTCGGGTTGTTAGAACACTATTGCCATGGTGGGAACAAAGGTTCAAAATGCCCTTAGAAGACATCCTCGGGTCTCAAACA